GCGCCTTCCCCGACATCCCCCCGCTCCGTCGCCGCACATGTCAGCCGCCATTTTCGGAAAAATTTCGATTCGCGCGCGTCCGAATTAGGCTGTTTTTCGGATTCGGCACGAATCGAAATTTTTTCCGATATTCGACTCGAATACTTCGATTCGCTCATCTCTAATTTTAATGTATGGTTTATAAAAAAAAATTAAATAAAGGACTCAAAATATACAAGCTGTTTGCTGGCATATAAGGATACATTTTTTAACTTTCACCAGATTATTAAAATTGAACATATTTAAATTTGAATTCCAGGCAAATAGCATAATAAAGAAATTTAAAGCACCTAAGGGAGTTGCTTTTCCTTCGAAAGCATTTTTGTATTTCAGTCCATCCAGTCCCAAAATTGACACAGTGCTACCACACAGCACAGCCTGGTCTGGCAGAGTAGGAGACCTGATTTTTCTGTGCTGCAGTTAAATAAAACCTAAAGGTCTTTTCCCTTCCCATACTTGTGACTTAACAGTGAAAGGAGCAGCAGTACACTAATAAGATTGAATACTTATTATTAGCCTGCACTAGGATAATCAACTCTCTATTATTATGGTTACCAGTGATCAAAAAGTAAAGAATGATGTATAATTAATAAAAACATGAAATATAAAAAAATGTGATTAGTAATTATGAAGGCTGCAACTTGCTAAGGTTCTAAACCTTAAAGCTAGTATAATCAATCAAAGCCCTGTCTATTTCTAATAAATACCAAATGTGCCAAACATAGAAGTTCATGTGTGCTCAGTGTCCAAAGTACACCTTCATTATACTACACAAATAGAAGCAATAGTGCAGTCGTTGGTGATGCTGTGCAGTATTCGTCTATAATTGGTGCAGAGATCACATTGCCGTGCTCCCCTCCTGTGTTACCACACTCACTAACAGCTGTGGACTCTTACATATGAAAATAGGAATCATAAACACATGAATTGTTGATTTCTTGGTATTGCTGGGACCTGCGTTCCTCCTTTGTGATCGTTTCTACAATGCAATAACAGGGCTCACAAGCTGGTGTACTCTCACATGCAAAAGGAATGGCAAGAGGGACCCATATGATGTCATTCTATTTTAGTAAAACTTCATGCAAAATTGGTTACTCTAACTTTAAAAAACAGAATTTAAAAGCACAGGGTTGCCGGACCAAAAGTGCCACATTGGCATGCATTCAACTGACCGGATATGACATCACTGATAGTCTCCATCTAATGCGTTTTACCCCTCCCACTAGGCATCTTCAGAAGCTAGAGACATCGATCATTTGCTTGTTTTATAAATCTTCAGCCACTTATACTACACCCAAAGGTTCCCCCTTGTACTCACTAGCTGTTGGATCACTTCCTCTTCTTCTCACAACCATCTTAGATGCATTACGGATTGCATGTGGCTACACATTCTATACCCACCAATACATTCATAATATATCCTGTATAATAGAAATTGATTAACAAAAAAAATATATATATATATTATCTTGCCAAAAGTATTGGGACACCCCTCCAAATCATTGGATTCAGGTGTTCCAATCACCTCCATAGCCACAGATGTATAAAATCAAGCACCTAGGCATGCAGACTGCTTCTACAAACATTTGTGAAAGAATGGGTCACCCTCAGGAGCTCAGTAAATTCAAACATGATACCATGATAGGTTGCCACCTGTGCAATAAGTCCATCACTGAAATTTCCTTGCTACTAAATATTCCACAGTCAACTTTTAGTGATATTATAACAAAGTGGAAGCAACCGGGAACAACAGCAACTCAGCCACGATGGTAGGCCACGTAAAATGACAGAGCGGGGCCAGCGCATGCTGAAGTGCACAGTGCGCAGAAGTCATCAACCGTCTGCAGAATCTATAGCTAAAGACCTCCAAACTTCATGTGGCCTTCAGATTAGGACAACAACAGTGCATAGAGAGCTTCATGGAATGGGTTTCCATGGCTGAGCAGCTGCATCCAAGCCATATATCACCAAGTGCAATGCAAAGCATCAGATGCAGTGGTGTAAAGCACGCCACCACTAGACTCTAGAGCAGTGGAGACGTGTTCTTTGGAGGGACAAATCACACTTCTCCATCTGGCAATCCAATGGACGTGTCTGGGTTTGGTGGTTGCCAGGAGAACGGTACTTGCCTGACTGCATTGTGCCAAGTGTAGAGTTTGGTGGAGGGGGGATTATGGTGTGGGGTTTCAGGGGTTAGACTTGGCCTCTTAGTTCCAGTGAAGGGAACTCTAAAGGCATCAGCATACCAAGGCATTTCGGACAATTTCTTGCTCCCAACTTTGTGGGAAAGGTTTGCGGGTGGCCCCCTCCTGTTCTAACATGACTGCACATCAGTGCACAAAGCAAGGTCCATAAAGACATGGATGAGCAAGTTTGGGGTGGAGGAACTTGGCTGGCCTGCCCTCAACCCGATAGAACACCTTTGGGATGAATTACAGCAGAAACCGCAAGCCAGGCCTTCTCATATGACATCAGTGCCTGACCTCACAAATGCGCTTGTAAAAGAATGGTCAACCATTCCCATAGACACGCTCCTAAACCTTGTGGACAGCCTCCTTAGAAGAGTTGAAGCTGTTATAGTTGAAAGGGGTGGGCTAACTCAATATTGAACCCTACGGACTAAGATTGGGATGCTATTAAAGTTCATGTGTGTGTAAAAGCAGGTGTCCTAATACTTTTGGCAATTTAGTGTATATATTTCTTCTCTTTCCTATCTCAAAACCTAGTTCCTTAGAAATATTATTAAATTCTAGATAAAATATATATATATATATTTTTTTTTTTTTTTTTTTTTTTTTTTTTTAATGTATGTATTTATTTTATTTGTTTCATAATATATGTATGATTGGTGGTTGTAGAAATATAAAGGCTATAGAAAAGTACATGTGAAGACACACACACCCAGTAAAGCATCTAAGATGGCTATCTTTGGGTGTAGTAAGAGTGGTTGAGAATTTACAGATGAGCCAATGGCTGATGTCTCTAACTTCTGAAGATGCCCAGTTTTTAGGGGCAGAAAATGTTATCTGGCAATCCTGTCCTTTTTACTTCTGTTTTTAAAGTGAGTGCAACCAATTTTGCATGAGCTTTTAATAACATGGAATTACACTATATGGGCCTCTCTTGCCATTCCTTTTTCTTGTGAAAGCACATCAGCTTGTGAGCCCTGTTACTGCTGTGGCACCATCCAAGTTTGGCTAGGTGGTGCTGGATCCTAATGGTTAGACAGAAACTGTTAGCAGCTTAGGTGTATTGGCCAGGGGGTTCGGTTTGTGGTTAGGGCTGGAAGACTCTGCAGGCCAGCCCCTCTGGAGTTTCCCCCTGCTCTGAGGCTTTTGGAGGGGGCCTTGGAGGCAGTGGGTGGATCTTAGGAGTGACTGGCTTCATTTTTGAGGGACCTCAGCCAATCCCCAAGGCTTGGCAAGGGGCTGGGACTCCCTTAAAAGTGTAGGAGCCTGCTCATTGGGGGCAGTCGGAGTTGGGTGGAAGAAGGAGAGGAGTATGGAGAGGAAGATGTGAGGCTGGAGGAAGGAGGCTGCCAGAAGGCCTAGTGGGATGGAGCCTGCCTGCGAACCTGGAGATGGAAAGAAGGAAAACTTGGAACTCACTGGGTCCCTGAGCAAGGACCACCTGTATGGCATGGAAGAAGTAGCCCAGCCGACAGGCCTGGTAGCAGCAGCCATCCCACAAGCAGTACATGAGAGGAAATGAGTGAGTACACCTGCACCCCCTGGGCAGATAGGGGGAGGAGCATTCTGATGGGAAACCAGATTAGCCCCCTGCTAGTGATTGTTCACCTCATTTAAAGGAACAGGAGCCAAATCTCCTGCTCAGGGAGAAAGTCTCCAGATTGCTGGGTGAAGAGGAGTTCATCTAGGGTCTGGGGTAGTACAACTAGAAGATGCTGGCTAGCACTCCGACAGAGACTGCATCAGAGAACAGAAGCTTGTGAATAGTTCAGGAAGTTTACCCTGTCCAAGTTCTAATCCCCTTAATAAATAACAAAACCAAAGCTCAAGGAATGGTTTCTGTCTCCGAGCTTGTGTGAAAAATGCTGAATGACTGGCTGAGCAGGACAATAGGGGGACTCATTTCTCTTAGCAACCCCTAAGGGAGTAGTGCTACACCGCATTGAAGAAACAATCATAGAGGAGGAGCACAGGTCCCAGCAATACCAAGACATCAACAATTCAAGTGCTTGTGACTCTTATTTTCAGATTTAAAAGTCCACAGCTGTTAGTGAGTGTGGGAACATAGGATGGGAGCACAGCACTGTGATCTCTGCACCAATTATAGAGGACTGCACTATTTCTTCTATTTGTGTAAGCATTTTAACATGAATAGAAGGGGGACCTGCTCTTAAATAGTGTAGCATATACAAATAGACTATAGCCCATAGGACTCTTTGCCAGTTTACTAACTACTAGCAATCTGTTACTGCAAGGTGGAGCTCACGTTTGGATTCATCATATTGTCTGCAAAGGAAATAGAAGCTGCTGTAGCTAACAGGGCCCTTGGGAGCCAGGTTTACTCATTGCATTGTTTTGTGCTTGTGTGCAAGAGTTTCACAAAGTTTACTTTGTGTCTAGAACATAATTGACAGTGGCATGGACCTCTAATACATAATGTGTTAGCCCTTAAGGGCTTCAATGTTTTCATGAATTCATCCATGGGCTTACTATATGACCATATTAATATCATCCATCTTCAAATTATCCCATTAGAGGAAAAACAGTTTCTCATTAAACATGCCCTGGCACCATTGGCCGATTTATAACATCTCACCCTGAACTCTAGACACGCAGTTCCTACATGAGAAATTGTGTATCTATTACAGTTCTAAGCTGTAAAATACAATGTAAACATAAAAGGTCTGTTAGTCGGTCACCGCCGGCCTCAAGTCTAACCTGAGACTCTCACAAACATCTAACATTTCAATTCTACAGTTAGAATATTAAACAATGAAAAGTTTAATTGGCTGCAGATGTGAAAAATGTCTGTGGTTCCTCTGTGTGCTGTACAAGATTTTTTTCTTTTTTTCAGTCTAAAAAGCATGAAAAACACAAGACAAATAAATGTAAATTGTTTTATAAACCGCTAAGTGATCTTCTGTGTTATGGCATTTCCTTTCATGGGCGATGGAATGCTCAGAGATTATTGAGGGGCTATATAATAGGAGCATTAGGCCACATGTACAGTAATATTCAAAGAAGAACAAGTGAAATATATTCTTCTCTGTTATACTTTACTTATATACTTATACTTTAAAGTTATAGTCCAGTCAAACATTATAAATCTGAATTTAAAACTGCAGCCTACCTGATAAATGGATATGCTCACCAGACTGAAAATATCTTCTGTACCTGGCTAACTAAATTATCCCTCTTATGTTCACTTTCTGAGTGGTCCAGAAAGAAAGTGCTTGTGAAAATACAGACCTGTGTTCATTGGTACAAACACTCTTCTTGAGTTGTGCAGCACAGAACCAAGTGAGAAGAGTTTTTTTTTTATTACAGATATTTATATAGCACCAACAAATTACTGACAGCTTTACATACTGTACATACACATCAGTTCCTGCCCTCAAGGAGCTTACAGTCTAATGTCCCCATCTCATAATCATACATAATCGCACACACATACTGGAATCAATGAGCCTACCAACATGTCTTTGGAGTGTGGGAGGAAACCCACACACGCACAGACCAACTTCATTAAGGTAGTATCTTGACCAAGATTCAAACCAGGAGACCCCAGTGTTACAAACCACTACTACCCTATTATATATTTGACTGCTTAAGGTCCCACTCTTGCATTGCTCAAGTAGGACCTGGGTGTGCAAGGAGAAAAGCAGAACATATAAAGTTCAGATCTAATTTTATTCAAGCTCTCATATCTCTGGTGTCAGGTGGAGAAATAGTACCCCATTGTTGGTGTCAGGTAGAGGAATAGTGCTCCATCATTGGTGTCAGCTGGAGGAATAGTGCCCCATTATTGGTGTCAGGTGGAGGAATAGTGTCCCATTGTTGGTGTCAGGTTGAAGAATAGTACCGCATTGTTGGCGTCAGCAGGAGGAATAGTGCCCCATCATTGGTGTCAGATGGAGAAATAGTGCTCCATCATTGGTGTCAGGTAGAGGAATAGTGCCCCATCGTTGGTGTCAGCTGGTGGAATAGTACCCCATCGTTGGTGTCAGGTGGAGGAATCGTGCCTCATCATTGGTGTCAGCTGGTGATACCAGTGCCTCCCACTGGTATCAGTGGGAGGAATGGTGCCGCATCATTGCTGTCATTGAAAGGAATAGTGCCTTGTTGGTGTTAGTAGCAGGAACTATGCCCCACTGTTGCTGACAGTCAGGGTAATAATGGCCCAAGGGTCAGATAAAAGCAAACAAAGGGCCACATTCAGCCCCAGGGCCACAGTTTGGAGACCACTATCATATCTTAAAAGGCCAACATGTTTAAGCAAGTTAAAAGGTTCTCCAACATTAGGGTTTGGTGTGGTGGAACAAAGCATATACTGGGCTGATAAAATTGGAAGGATCTTGAGGGGTAATTAGTATGATTACTTGAGATGTTTAACTAGCATCTGAAATACTAATTACCCCTCAGGATCCCTCTAAAAGACGAAGCTCAGTACACACACTTCATTCAACAGTACCAAGCCTTGGTGAATGGGGACCCTTTAAACCCCCTGAAAAAAGTTGGCTTTTTATAAAAGTCTAAATAAAATTAAATCTGGAATATATATTCCTTTGGTACATTCCTCCTTGCACGTCCAGACCAATAAATAACCGGAAAGAAGTATATACTCCAAATCTTCCAAAGTTTATCCAAAATTAGAAAAAAGAGTTCTACCTGGAGTTGGAGTTTATTGCCTGCCTGCCCAACCAGCACTGAGACATGCAGCATGATTCTCCCTAAAGTCCCATTTAAATGTATT